AAACGTGCTTTTACTTTGACTTTTAAAACAATGTGGATAGTATAATCTTGACAATATTGTTAGAGCTTCTTACAGATATTTTAATATAATTAATTCAATAAAATTTCATCAACTAATACGCTAACAAATTGTCTGGGCTATTTACCTTTCTTTCTGTTTTTACTGGAATTTTAAATCCGGAGAATTTAATGGTTGTTATATCCTCATTTACATTTTGACCAAAAAAAAAAAAAAATTTTTCTTGTAAAAAAATCAAGCATTTTTATAAACATGTTGAATGCTTAAGCATATAAGAATCAAAAATTTAGCAACTGCATAGATGTTTCAGCATTAGATTTTAGGAGATAAGTATATATACAAGCAAACATGTGGTCCATTGTTTCCAAAAACTAAAAATCCCTCAGAGTTCTGTTTTTAAATGATAATCATCTGATTATTTTTGAATACTTCTAAAATGTTTTCCTAGAAAATATTTTATATCATAAAATCATATAATCTAAAATCTGTATACTGTTTAGTAAAGATTACTGAAATATTCTAAATATTTTATTTCTACAGATAATAAAATAATAGGTATCTTTTTAAGTCTCGGTGATATGATAAAGTAAAAAATGCACTGAAATTTAACTACTAAACGCATTTCTAAGTAAAGATTAGCAAAAAAAAAAAAAAACAGTTTAAGGATTCTCTAGTCTCTGGAAATGTAAACAGGATTATAACTGTCAGATGTACAGAAGCACTGATTTCAGCCATTAGTTTGGTTTTGCTTCTGAGAAACACAACATGAACTACTGAATCATTTCTTTTCAAATATATACATTCCCTGCAGCAGTTCCAGCTTCATCGGTGGTGCAGGAATGGATAAAAATGACAAGCAAAGAGCATTAGTTTTCTTTTTTTTCTCATACTGTTTTCCTATAAATGGAAGACAGGGTTCTTTCTCAAAGCACTTAAGCTGAGGCTGTTTAAGTCAATTGCTGAAGGAAAATATGACTGAATGCTCTATACAAGAAAGCAAAAACAATTGGATTGTTTCTTTTCAAGAAAAAAACTGAGAAAATCAAGTACTGTATTATATTATCTTAGGATAAAATATAAGATTAGCATTCTAGCTTAAGTGTCCATTATTCTTCGATTTGAAATATTTTCATTTTTTAAAGTATTCATTCTGTCAACTCATCACCTTATTCTAGCACCATTCAAACAGTACCCAGTTTTGTTCCAAATTTTAGATATAAAAGGCCTTCCCATTAAAATATGGCTATTTTCTTTTGAAAATATTTATATAAAATAGTTAAAAACTTTATTTCCAAGTTTTTGTACTTTTTGAGTTTCACTGAAAGAGAAAATTCAATTAATAATTAAAAGTTTATTTAACCACGATCAAGTAAAAACAGAACATAGTGTGTAACCCAGCTATTCTGGAGCTTACGCATTGACATTTTTTTAAAAACTAGTACAGTAACTGCTATAACTTGACTCACTTTTTAAGGATATGGGAAAATTTCAGACTAAAGCTTAAACATACATATTTTAGTTTACAGTAACTAAAAACACTTCCACCTCAGTATTACCATCTACATTCTCATAAAATGCCCCTAATGTGATGACTGTAAAGGTAAAGTCTAGAGAAGTCTAAAGGTTATGGACTTTTGGAAATCTAACACAAAAAAATTCAAATCACACCCTGTATTCCTCTTCCTCTTTTAAGGAATGTCTGTAGCTAGCCCAACATCACAGATCTGGGCAGAAGCACGCCAAAGTTGGCACTGCCTAAACCAAACAAACAAGATGTTTAACAGTCAAATAAAATGTCCTGCAGCCTCCCTAATGAATTTGTCAAGGACCATCAGATTTCACTCCCCCTCTTTTGCCTCATTAACTCAAGTATGATGAGACGGATTATAACAAGAGAACACAGATCAATCGGCCTGAAGACTTGAAGTGGCTTTTAGCCTCTAGAGTTTCTTTCTCTCACTTGGTCTCCTTTAATAGAATACGGTATCTCCTGCAGAAGGGACTGCCACTTCGTTTTAATACGCCATCAAGGAGCTGCTGATGGACTTCTATACTAACATACATAAAAGCAGAGGTGACAGGGGCTCTTCAATTACAGCCTCCTCAGATACGTTTCCCCCTTCAATTATTCAACCAGAGGAAGAAGGAATCCGCAAACACACAGCTGAAGCAGCTCTAAGAGCTGAGGCAGCCACAGAGTGAGTTGGGGTGGGGGAGGGGGGCAGGGAACTAGCAAGAGGGAGCATTATTTGCTGGAAGTGTTTAAGTTTATTGCTCGAATGATGTTTCTAATTAGTACCGCGGCAATAAATTAAAGTCGCCTTTGTTTAACTGATTTATTATTTACTAGAGCTTCTACCTTAGACAGGGTAAATTGGTAATGAATTGTTTTTAAATCAAAACATTTGTAACGTTTTATCATCCCTTAGCCTCTGTATGTAAAAGTGGAGAAATGCGAGGACAAGGGTGCGATGAAGCTCAGTCATGCTTGACAGAGCCAGGAGAAGCAGTGGAGTGGGGTGTCAGGAGAGCGGTGGCGATCCGCGTGGCCTGGGCTGCCCCACCCCAGAAGACAGGGCGCGGACCTGGACGCTGGGCACCTACCAGTGGACCCGGCCGGTGGCACCGGAGCCGTGAGGATGGACTCCTGCCATCACCCCCGGGGTCTTTTTGCAAACATTCACTCTCTTTGGGGCTTCGCAGGCCAGGCCAGCAGACGCGTGAGGCCTCAGCCCCTGGCGGACAGAGGCGATGAAGAAGCGGCCACCTCAAGGGTCTGGGAGGGAAAGCTCTGCACCTTCCCGCCCCACCACAAGTCTACGCCCAGTAACTGCCCTCGGGAGAAGCTGCTACAGATCCTTTCCTGGCTGGTCGCACAACTCCCCACAGCGAAGTGCCCCTCTGCCCAGTAAAATTTCCCAGAGCGCCTGTGTGATCCGCGGGCAATAGCTGGATTACCGACGGAGCCTGGGCTTCCCACACGCGCACGAACCACGAAGGCACCGCTGCTCCTCCCGATCCTTCTGCAGCCAAGCGTTCTGAGATGCAAGCTGCGCCCCCAAGAAAACTGGAGTCAAGCGGCTGCCCCAAGACTGACACTCCAGAGCCGTTGACTAAAGCTCTGACTCTGAGTTGCGAGTATGTTTATTTCGGACTGCTTTTCCCAACTCCTTGCTGCTGAAGACAGATTCTAGGCAATAAATCTGACTAGAATTTTTTAAGAAAGGGCCAAATAGTTCTTTAGAGAGGCCGACTAGGTGCCAGTGTTCTGCACCAGATATGTAAGGAAGAACTAAGAGGTCCAAGTGTCTGACATCAAGTAGAAGGGGAGAAATAAACTTCCCCTATGCAACTGAATATCGGTTCACCTGGTCTAGCTTTGAGAGCACAAGTCAAGCCCTCCCAGGGGTCCTGCAAAAGCCACATACTGGCGTTTGCAAAATGAAGTCTTCCTCCTAACAGCTTCATAGTTTTATTCCTATAGCATTAGAAACAAATGCTATAGGAATATAACTAAATCTAACTAAAAATAATCCCATCTACCTAATTTGTCTTAAAATGACTCAGAGACCAGACACCTGAGGTTCGAACATAAACTCTCAATACTAAGCAAATTGCAAATGCTGTTACAGCTTTTTCCTCCAAAAGTACTGAAAGGCTACTATGGGTACAGTTTGAAAGGATAACATATATACTAAAAGCACATGCATGAGTTTCACTGAAATGCCAAGGGAGGAGTGAAGCCATCTGTGTAATCAATAACAGGATAGTTATAGATTTTTGCAGCAGTGAAGTCTTTTAAAAGCAAGAGTCAATTATGAAAATAAAATCATTTTACAAGTGAAACTGTACTGCCTGAGAATATATTCAAAATTAGATTTACAACTGACTTTTTAAGGAAACTAACTCAGGTTCATATTTACTTCCCTTCTTTTTCAGTAAGTTTAAAAATGGTTTTAGTGGCTTATTTTAACTCAAACATATAACCAACAAAATTCTACCATATATACATTTGTACCATCTCTCACAACTTAAACGTATTTTCTAATAACTAGTTAGTCCTTGTAATAAAGTAACAGCATTAACTACACCCAAATCTTAATTATGAAATATCAAGCAAGGCGTTTGTACTATTTTTGCCCTGCCCCATTTTTCAAAAGCATGTGGAAATTACTAAAAAGAGATTTATAGTCATAAACCTTCACCTCATATCCACTCCGCCACCCTCCAACTGGTGCACATATAAAAGAACTGCTCTAGCTCTAGGCAACAATGGGAGGAGAAAGGAAGAAAAAGAAGACGTTGCTGGAGTACAGTACCTAGAAAAATTTCGGTTCTTTCCCAAATCCCCTTCCTCCTCCCATGTGCCTTCAAGTGAAAATAATTTTGTTAAAGTTTGCATCTTCTTCACAATGTTGATAGAAAAAAAAGTGAACCTTTCTGAATCACTGCTACTCTCCCTCGGTTATTCCAGCCATCTCCAGGAAGTCCCTTCTATATAGACTCTTTTTCTTCCTTGCAACTGATAAGAGAGGACGATAAAGAAGAGGGGGCTGTAAAATGTGTGTGAGCATTTGACTTCTACTATCTCCTCCTATTTTCTTACTTCTCTCTTTACCCCTTTTCTTTATCAAGCGCAGCGGTGGCTGCTACCATCGACCAAGCATGCCTGTCTTCTCTCTCGGATTGGCTAAAGCAGTGACAGCTTGGATAGCGATTGTAGGAACTGAAGCTCCACCCCCCTCATGATGGCCCTGGACCATTCATAAACTAAATAACTCCAGGAAACAGCAAGGCAGAGGGAGAAAGAGGTAGAGCCAGGGAGAGAGGGAGGGAGGGAGGGAGGGAGGGAAGGAAAGGGGGAGAGAAAGAGGGAGAGAGCAAGAGAGACAGAAGGAAAGAGGGAGACAGAGGGAGTAAGGGAGAGAGAGGGAGAGAGATTAGGAGAGGAGAGAGAAAGA